TATTTTGTGTAAGCACGCTCTTTGGACAGAAAAAAAAACTCTTGCGTGTTTCATTGGTGAAATTGCAAAATCCAAAATATTTTTGAATATGTCTCGCCGCATATGAATTCTAACCTTCAGTGTTCTTATCGAATGCGGAAAACGTCGGTACTGACAGACAGTGAGGCTACGTCGATAACGATTGCAATACTTTCGCCATCGTTATTTGAATATGCTGTCATACTACTTACTGCTCGTTACTTGATACGAAGTACGTTATCTGATTCATACTAGCTAATTGGATCTTGAGTAACATCATAAAACAATCTATAACTTCGTGAGGAAAAAGGCTTCGAAATCACTTTTAGACGAGCACTTCATATAAAAATATATTTTTGATGGGTATTTTGACGGTAACTTATTAGGACCACCAACTTCTCAGACGAGTTTTTGAGCCCGAGTCGCGATCATCAAATTGACGAATATTTGAAATGCCTGTCTTCAGTAGGATTGGTATTTCCTTATTTTTCTCTCTTCATTTTGTTATGTTTTGAGAACAGCAATTATTTTTCGTACCACCTGATTCTTTCTCTACAATATGTACCTAAGTATTTAATGCAACAGTATAACAACAATAATTTATTAATAAAAAATAAATTTACATAATTAATCTGTATTTAAATTCATTACAAATTAAACCGATTCATGAACCCCAAAAAATTAATTTAAAACTCCAAAAATACGATAATTTTATTCATAAAGTTATGTATTTTACGGTGCATGGACAAAAGTCGGCGAACTAGCGTCTTCGATGGTATGAGTATTGTATGGGGGCTGTTACACCCACGTTTTAGAGTTAAAACCCAATCGAAGCCATGGATATTTAAGGGACAAAACTTTATTCGTACGTCGTTCCTTCGGAAGGGGAAGTAAAGTTGGCTGTCCATGTTGTACATATACTTCATGTGAAATATACTCAAACCAAAAAGAGCTAAGCTGAGCTAAATTTAAATCGCCTGGTGCGTAACCCAAGTGATACTTTCTTTCACTTTCAGATGGTGATGGGAGCGTAGCGAAATGTGCATGGTCTGGCGGAACAGCCTGCATTTTTGGAGAAAATTTGTTACGTGGCCTGAGTATCGCCACGTAAAGTAATGTAAAGTAAAGTAACGTATTTTGTAAAGTAATGCATCTTTGAATTACATTGTCTTGAACTAGCTCGAATAGTAGAACTCGGGGCCTGGGCGAGCGCGCGCACCCAAAGAAGAGCCAGAACATAGTAGAAAGTATAGTAGGTACAGAAAGGAAACTTGACGGGGATTTCTTTGATCTACGAGGTGAGATTGCGGAGGTCGCCATTTTGAAACCGATTAATCACGGTACTTGGACGCAGCAATAGATACACAATACTCTGCCTCCATGAAACGTGTTTCACTATTGAAGTTTTAAGAAAAAAGTCATTTGTAGTTTAAGTCCGTAGTAAAGGAAAGCACTAAAAATATACTTCAAAGAGGATAATAGGTGAATCAACGAATACAACACAATATGAAAAGCAATGAAACATTCCATAGTATTGCATCTTTCTTATTACTATCACTCTTTACTAACTATAAAATATTTACAAAATTAATAACCACAAGGAAACAAACTTAACAACGAGCAACAACTAGTTACCCAACATTCGCGAACTAGAAACTGCAAAGAACACATGCTATCCAATCAAAACGTAGCAACAGCGCAGGCCAGTCAATGCCACCTCAAAGTACAAGTGACCCAAACGTTGGGCGTTGGGCAAGCAAAATACTCACTTTCATTATGGCGAACGCATTAATTTGGCGAACCGAGTACAGGGGATTTTCCATGCTGCAATACTTTCTATTCAGTGGCCAACATCTGGGCCCTACGGATCACTGATGGCAGTGAGGACACGGAGCTACAAGATGGGGAATTAACAACAGGATGCTTTCACCGAAATACAAAAATATTGAAAATATTGAATTTATTGACTTAAAGTAATTAATAATTTAATTAAAAAATCATTAATTTTTCTAGAATTGTAACTAGTAGTGAAACAACACATACTTGCATCAGCACATCTCACATTATTTGAAACAGTAATTTTTGAAAATTTAGAGAGTTCAATGAATATGGCGTAGTAAGTGTAATTTCAAATAAACATTTTTATATAATAATATAATATTTTATATAATATACATTATGTACACAAATATACATAATTAATATACATAAATATACATTTTCATATAATTTTTTTTCAAATAAACATTTAACAGAAAATATAGAGCAGTTTTGAAAAAATTTATTTTTGTAATTGCCTTTACTGCAAGCAAAATTTACGCGAAAACAACTCACGTGTTTTTAAAAAAGTGTACAAAACCTTATTTAAAGACATAACTTTAAAACAAATTTCATGAAGAGGAAAAAAACTCTATCATCGATAGTTATGTAATTTTAAACGTCTGCAATTTTTGAAAATTTTGAGAGTTCACAAAAAGTTACAAAAAGTCAAACTTGCGCTATTTTATTAAACCTACTTTGAACGAGTATTTAATTCAAAAATTTGGCGCCATTTTATAAAAATTTTAACGTCGTTGAGGCTTCATGTAAATATCCCCAAAATCAAAATATTCGTTTAAAATTCAAAGGGACGCGACTTCAGTCAGATCAATCAGTGGATATTAATTTTGTTAAAAATGTGCATTACGCTTTAGCCGCTAGCGTCCAGCCGGACGTTTTGCAATTAACTAACATTTCCGCACCATAAAACATAGGTCTCATAAAACATAAGTTCTGACTGCACATCTTTGTAGAGAGAGTTTTTTCTACGTAAAGAAACGGAGATATCTACTTTTCCATTAATAGAGACACATAAAAAGATTTTTTCTGCCAAAAAATTGCTGTTTTGTCGCAGAATTTCAAAAATGTCTCTATTGTATGAAGTATCAGTAAATGAGTGCATTTATTTAACAGCAATGTAAATGCAACTGTTGAATATAAATATATACATAAATATAATATTCACAAGATATACTAAGAATAAAATAATACGCTTCTGTGGAAGTAGACTGCAAGCAAATATACAAGCAATGCTACAACAAAAGATGCTTTCTTGCATTTTTGGTAACTGTTGGATATTTCAACAAATGAGAAAGTTCAACGAAAATAATACCTGAGCCATATTAAGAGTCCTTTGCTCTATCCAAGAGGGAAAAATAGAGGAAATATTCCCTCATTATTTTTGGAGAAAAACATGATTTCATAAATTACAGAAAAAAATCCGTAAAAACAGTGGATCTTTCAAAAAATTGTACATGAGTTTATTTGAAGTTATAATTTTTAGAAGAAATTTCATAACGAAAAAACATTCGTTTATCAATACTGTATATCTTCAATTCAAAGTTGTGGTGATTTTTGCAAGTGACAAAATACAGAGAGGTCGCCAAAAATGGGAACCGCGCCATTGTCTAACATGTATGAATTTCTTCAAGTTTTATCTTTTGATTCATCCAAGGAATAAATTTAAAGAACTAGTGGCACTGCAGCCGCACGTACATTTTCACAAAAGTAACGGTTGCGTAATATTTGAATACCGCAATTTGTGTCCGTATTAACTCATCTTAGCCATCACTTGTCAAACTCTTTACCAATCTTAGCGCATTGGAAGCGAAAACTCACTATTTTAAATGGTGCTATTACATGAACAAAAATTCTACAATTCAAAACTGCGTTCCACAAGCCAGAAAAATCATCCAGCAACGAGAAGTAATTCTGAGAATTTCGTACTGCCGCGGTTGGCCGTTTTGCAGCGCTGCCATTGTATTACGACAAATCTCCTGAAATCATAAAAAAACGAGACAAATTTCGGATCAGTAGTTTGGAAGATTTGTAAAAATTACGCAAAACTACAAAAAGTTCAAAAAAATGTACACAATCTTCTTTAAATATTTAATATTAAAGAACAGTCGCTCTAATAAAACTTATTGCTAATTGTAAAGCATGATATGCAAAAATTAATTAATTTAAAGGTACTATATCAACTCAAATTCGACAATCCAACACTACTTTTCAAACAGGGAGAAACAGTGCCCAACAATGAGAATTAATTCCATGAATTTCAAATTGTCAGATAGCTATACTATTGTCCCTGTAGCACCATGATATCTTGTGAAAGACTACCTTCAGAAAAAAAGCGCGATAAATTCAATGTTGCAAATTTTTATTAGCAAAAAATCCCTATAACAAATATTGTTCTTCGGAGATTCCTCGTGGGACACAAAAAACTATCGCTTCTTTTCTTTTCTCGAGACGAGTGCCTCCAACATGCGGTGGAGATTTATCGTAGGACACAAAATATATTAGCTTCCTTTCTTTTCCAGGGACGTGCAGTGTCCAACATGCGCTGGGGATTCGTCGTGGGACTTCAGGTGCTCTGCCTTACAGGGGGAGTTATGTCCTTCGATCCACTGCAGTGGGTACCCGCGTCCATCAAGTATCCATTGGTGGACCTCATGTCTAAATTCTTGCCGCCCATATTTCATGTGCAACGCCTCCTCACACCACACAGTGAAGACCACTCAAAAATGTAATTGCTATATTTTCACAAAAGTAGCAGTCTTTGATGAATAGGATCAACAAATTCTCTTCTAGGCCGTGACACTTTACGGTTATTGTAGTTACATTGTAAAATTAGAAATTAGATGTGATGTCAGTTTTGACGAAATACGTGAATAAAGCAGTCATATAAAGCTAGCAACGCCTAAAAATCAGTATCAACCAAATCATAGGCTCTTTTGGATTTCCCAAAATCGTGGGGGTTGCCATATTTAGTCTAAGCCAACCTAGAAAGTACATCTCATCATTGCAAGACAGCAAAAATGCATGCAAATTTAAAAGAATAATTATATGCTCCAGAATAAAATGTTCCACTCCATATTTTTCAAAACTCAGGGCTGTACAAATAGAAACAGGTGCACGTTCTTATTGGCGAATGGGGTGGGGTAATGTACAGGGAGGAGTTCGACTTTATCATCGTGGGCGCGGGCGCGTCCGGAGGCGCTGTGGCCCTGCGCCTCACCGAAAACCCAAACTGGAAGGTCCTGCTGCTGGAGGCCGGAGGGGAGGAGGAATCCATCATGGACATCCCTTTGCTCCTGGGCCAGTTCCTCGGCACCGACGCCAACTGGCACTACCGCACCACCCCTCAGACGACTTGCTGCGTGCTGATGAAGGACTCCAGGTGCGACTACCCGGCCGGCAGAATGGTCGGCGGCGGCACCCCGCTCACCTTAATGTTGACCATCCGAGGCAGCTCAAAGGACTACGACAACTGGGCGAATATGGGCAATAAGGGATGGTCGTTCGCTGATGTTCTTCCCTACTTCAAGAAATTGGAGGATGTGCAAATTCCTGAAATCCAGAATAGTGATTACAGAGGATACGGAGGAAGAATAAAAATATCATACACGCCTTACTTCTTTGGTAAGTGATACTTTTAGAAAGAGAATGAGTTATGCCAGATTCGTTTAATTTTTTTGTAATAATTGATAGTTGAACAAACAACTTATTAATGAAATTAATCATATTTCGACACGCACATCAATGTAGTCAGGTTTTAGTACAAATCATTTCTGTAATGCGTTTGACAACTAAATTTTGCAACGATCTCGCACAAGAAATGTGGTTATTGGAATCTCAGCCTCGCCTCCCCATCCCAGAACCACCGGCCGCCAGCGACAAGCACAGAATCGCGCCATGTTACATAACATTGTGTCCTCATTTTAAACCTAAAACTAGCATTATATTTTTACAGATACTTTCGGCAAGAAAATTTGGTACGAATTTCTAGTTAATGTTTATTTAGAATTGGGAATATTCTTTTACATAAGCATAAATAAAAGGTACTAACGCAACATTTCTTACGTAGGCTAAACAATTTTGTTATCTACATTCGACTTTTCATCAGGAATTTGATTTTTATAAGGACATGATTACTATATTTTCTTTTAGGTTTTATTATTAAAATTTCTCACAATTTCAATACCTCCTTTAGCAAAACATGATCTCCAAGAGAAGTTAAAATATTGTGTTGGATTTGTCAATGTAAAATGTTTTCATCATGATGAGAAATGCTCTTTTTTTCCTTTTAGCTTCACAAAAATAAACGCATACAACTACCTTCTCCAAAGTGACATATGTACCATATCGCTCAGACAAATCTACGTATATGCGCAGATGTGGGCAATCTGATCCTCAAAGCAGCTGAGGAAGCGGGCTTCCCCATGACGGACGACTACAACGGCGAGAAGCAGACAGGAACGGGACGCATGCAGACCACAACGTACAAAGGTTCCCGCTGGAGCGCCAACCCAGGATACTTAGACGAGGCGCGCGCCCGCCCCAACCTCTTTCTGCGCACGCGCAGCTTCGCCACGCGCCTCGTGCTGGAGGGCGTGCGCGCGCGCGGCGTGCGCTACGAGCGAGGCGGCCACGAGCACGTCGCCTACGCTACGCGCGAGGTGATCCTGTCGGCGGGCGCCGTCAACTCCCCCGCCATCCTCATGCACTCGGGCATCGGGCCGGCGGACCACCTGCAGCAGCTGGGCATACCGGTGGTGCAGCCGCTGCCCGTCGGGCACAACCTCATGGACCACACGGCGCTCATCGCCACCTTCACCACTCTCAACGAGACCGTCAGCCCTAGCATACCCGATGTTTTGCTCAATCCCTTGAACCTTGTCAACTATTTCGCTAGGAAGTCCGGTCCATTCACAAGTCCCGGAGGTTTTGAGGCAATTACATTTCATGAGGTTAAGGGAGCCAAGTTCCATACTCCTGGTTGGCCGGATGTGGAGATTTTGTACGCCTCGACTAACCCGTTGGCGACCCGAGGTTTGGCAGATGTATTTCGATTATCGGATGTAGCATACGATCGACTTCTCAAACCGATCAAAGGCAAGCCAGCTATATTTGCTGCAATATGGCGGCTTCGACCCAAGAGCAGAGGGCGCATCTATCTTCTGAACAACGACACATCCACGCCGCCCCAGATCGACCTTCGCGGACTTTCCGACGCAGAGGACAGGCAGGCGGTGCTGGCTGGGTTGAGGGCTTTCCAGAAGGTGGTTGCCGCCCCCAGTTTACAGAAGGTGGGCGCTCGGATGTTGGACATTCCGGTGCCAGGGTGTGAGGATTTCGACTTTGATTCGGATGAATACTGGGACTGCGCCATGCAGCAGATGTCAATCACGATCTATCACCAGAGTGGAACCGCCAAAATGGGACATCAAAGAGATCCAACGGCTGTGGTCACTCCCGATCTGAAAGTGATTGGTGTGGATGGATTGCGAGTCGTGGATTCATCCATCATGCCGTCAATGGTTGCAGCTCATTTTCAGATGCCTTGTTACATGATTGGAGAGAGGGCAGCTGATCTGATCAAGCAGAGTTATCAGAATTAATTCACCATTATTCTTCACTGTGTTTTTACTGTTCCTTTCCTTTGGTTCTTCAAAAGTCTAATCATTCATTAAGAAAATAAATTCAAGAAATAAATAACGGCTCCTTTGTTAATATCCTTGACAGTTTGTGACTAAAAAGATGTAAATTCTTATACATTACATTTCAAAATAAAGAAATGTTTATTCTAAATTTTTATAATTATTTTATTTTGGCAAAATGTAATGGGAAGTGTTGATATTACGAGTAAAAGCTATTAATAAATTTCTGCGACTAAATTTGCGGAGTATCTTTAGATATTGTGTGAACAACATTGAAATAACTAAACTTTAATATCTTGCTTTTTATGTTCGGCCTTAAGCCACCATCCTGATTGAGTTTTTCTGGGTTTTTTCAATCGCTTAAGGCATGCCAGGATGTTTGCATCCCAGATGTAAATGTAAAATATAGCCCCTTTTTGTTAATTATTGACAGTTGAGGCATTTCGGTTATAGGAGATGGATATAGGCGATAGATATTAATACTGACAAGTAGTAGTCTCTGTGTATTGCAAGAGCTTTCAAGAACAAACAGAAAAACAAAACAAAAATCGCTTTTAAGTTATGACTAGAACACCTTATTTCATGTGTACCGAACAGTAAATACCTTTGTAAAGTGAAATGTGCATTAATACAATTTATGTTCGATCACCTCACCTTTTGTAAATGTCATAAAAGTGTTTAGAAGAAAGAGCAGACCTTATAACCTGAGCCTCGCCACAAATAAATTAGATTGTATTATTATTATTATTATTATTATTATTATTATTATTATTATTAATATTATTATTATTATAAAAGTGGACTCTGAGGTAGCTTAGAGAATCAATTGAAGACATTGCAGTGTCCCTGACAGGGAGGTTCGAGGGTTCGAGCTCCTACTGTGGCGGAATGTTGACACTAGCTAGGGAGTTAGTATATGGAGGAATATGAAGCTATCTTTTTTTTAAGCTTAATTTTAATAAAGCTTAATTTTTGGATCTCCCGTATAGTCTTTCGATAATTGCCTAACGTAGATATAATCGTTACTGATTTCCTCGATCCAGGGAAATCAGAGTGGCATTACTCAATTATATGCACTCTGCCCCTTGCTTACTAACTTATTAAACTCGACATTAGAACTTTGCTTTCGGCCGGTTGATAGCACTTGAAATGTTTACTTGTGTTTGTCTTGGTTCTTGTTTGTGAGCTGGAAACGCTTGAGTTAATAATTGTGTAACAACTGGTCTATTACGCGAGCTCACGTACTGATTGATGAGCAGTAAATATTTCCGAGTTCTCAAGTAAACAGGCTAACGAAACTGCAGCACTAAATCAGGTGGATCAGCGCATTAATTGATTAACTGCAGTGCTTCTGGTCGGGAAATAATAGGGTTCGTGTCCCGACTATTGCATGATTTTCGACATTTGGTTGTGGTGCACACGATGGGGAGCCAAAAGAGGATCCACCTTGCAAAAGGTGAAGTAGAAGATTTTATTAATTTACTTTGTTTATATTGCTATCAGTAAGAAAACCTAACGTTTTTCACTTTGAAATAATTGGGGAAAAGCCAAAAACACAATATAATTCAAGCATTTTTGTGTGTAATAACTTTTTTAAAGGGAAAAAATAGTGATGTACAATTTTAATGGTCATGAAATTCTCCTCAAATTCGATTTATTAAGTATTTTTTTCAAGAAAATAGCAACAGAGCTGCGATGTACGATTTTTCTGTGCGGCTGTCGTTTTCTGTTCGGTAATCGCCCTGTAATAGCCCATTAAATCATCATTGAGAAAGTGCCATCCATCAGAGCTGTCGTCAAGGTAAGAACTGCATTGTTTCGTCAACATTAGTGGCTAGGCGAAATCCCTTTGATTTATTCTTATCGGCTTGCACGATTCCTTTTGTCAGAAAAGGTCAAATTCTTAATATCAATGCGTGTTATTTTCCGAGCCCATTCATACTGGCGGATTTTTATACACGTTGATTAATTATTGATGGTTTCAAGAAACATTTCATAACCTTGTGCACAAAATGTCTTGGGGATTGTTAATAATAATAATAATAATAATAATAATAATAATAATAATAATAATAATGATTGTATAATTATTAATATAAAAAGAAGAAGAAAATAACGAACACCATTTTATTCTATTTAAATGCTTTTGATGTAAGTATGTGGCAGAAGGTATAAGTGTACTGAAAATCTTATCAGAACTTTCAAATGCGAGTTTAAGTTCATTAAACATTAAAAACATTAGTATTTAATCCCTTTTTATTTATAATGACATTATGGATTCAAAAGTACATTAGAGAGACCATTAGTAGTTTTGCGCAATATTAGAATAAAAAGAAAACTTTGGTAAAATTTTAAAATCTCGTAGCTCTATTTGCTTGAGAAAAATAATTTATAAAACAAATTTGTAGAAAATTTTATGTATATTGAAATTTACACAACTATTTTTGCGCTTAGATCAACCATTAAAAACTTGTTATGTAAAAATTAAAAAATGCCCGACCTTCTTTTGATTTTTCAGCTAGCAAAACTTTACCGAAGTATTTCGAGATGGAAAACCTAGGGTTTTATTACTAATAACAATATAAACAAAATAAAATGAAACCTTCTATCTTACCTTTTGCAAGGCAAAATTATATATCAGCTGTACTAATAGTGTAACAAAGAGATAAGATTCTTTATTGGCAAAACTAAAAGTTCATCATCTTCAAGAAAGAGACAAAATGTAAGTTTGTTTAGACACTCATTATTATCAGCATTACCAAGCCCAAAGAATGTCCCAACCTGCAAATACGACCTCGATTCGGATAATTCACACATTTTAATCGTAGGCAAAAGAAGATATAGTACATTGGAATGGAGGCTTATTTTCTTATCAGTTCGATTCAGTCGTAATCTTTCCTTGGAATATCTAAGATGAAAGGTCGTCGTTTTAAATCTAATCTTATCGTTCAGAAATGAACAAGCTACCATGATAAATTCACTTCTTTCATAAAACCCTCCTTAGTTTACTTTCCTCCGGTGCAATGAGCCGGCCTCGGCCTGAGGGAACCGCCTTCATGATCACGGTAACTCTTATGCCAGGTAAGTATGGAGTAAAGAGTAATCTGAAGAAACAGAGAAATGAGTCTGAAACATAAACGTAGCATTTCAAAACACGCAATGCGCGCGCCGGTAGGCTAAAGTAATTTTTTGACCTTCTGTTTTTCTTCATGTTGCAGGATTGACCACAGATGCCTGTAAGGGTAGGAATGGTCCCACCGCGGTGGCGTGAACGTACATAGCACTTTCCGTGCGTTAACAAAACTGCACAAATGTACTGCACGACTTTACTCCTGTGTCGTGCAGTAGTGTAGCGATTTGTCATTAGAGACACGAACATGAAGATGTTGGTTCTCCTTGTTCATCTGCTGGCAGTGGTCGCACCAATACCCACATGCGACTGCGACTTCACTAGTCGTGCCGTCATCTGCAAGGGACTGAGTTTGACTGACGTTCAGAAAAAGGACTCTGGATGTGAGAATTCTTTCTGGAAAATAGATCTCTCGAAAAAGTATCTGGAAGACTTTCCCAGTGATCTACAACCGTTCGGAAAAGTAAGCCAACCACTAAATTCTCCGGAACCTTTGAAAGCGTCAGTTGATCGAAAAGTGAAGTATTTATACGTGTCAGGAAATAACATTGTAGAAACAGACTTGGGAAACAAATTTCTGTTTTTACAGCATACAATTGCCGCTGTCTCGGTTGTAAATCACTGGGAAAGTCTTTCAGGTAATTTTTCGAGAGATCTATATTCCAGAACGCATTCTCACCTCCAGAGTCCTTTTCCTGAACGTCTGTCAAACTCAGGCCCTTGCAGATGACGGCACGACTAGTGAAGTCGCAGTCGCATGTGGTTTTTGCTGCGATCACTTGAACAACCTTTTAAACGGACAGTACAACATTGTGCATCTGGACGCATCCGAAAATTAGATTAGGAGTCTAGACGCAGTTACAAGATACGCGCAATTATCTACACTCGAAGATCATGAAAATACGATATCTCAAGTACCGAAGGAACTTGTGCTCTTGGCTAATCTACAAGTGTTGGCACGTTCTTCTAACAACTCTCCATCATGTCTCATTTTACACCAACGTTGGAATTATTACATTTCTCTTCAAATTACATTCAGTGAATCAGTAATTACTCTTATCTATCTTCATTCGTTACAAGCTTCGCCATTACATAGAATAGTATAATTGTCTTAGAAATACTTGCTTTTGCAACTGTTTCATCTCTTCACTCATTACGATTTAAGAGGAAATAATTTGAAACTTTTATCTAGCGAATTATTTAAAGTGCTAAAGCCATTGAGAGGCACTGACATTAGTGTCAACTCGGTCATATCTTGACTACTGACACGTTTACCGGCTTGTCTGCTTTGGGAGAGGCGAACTTGAAAAGGAATGAGCTAAGAACTTAACCAGCTACGCAGTTCAACAGACATTTAAACCAATTGGATTTTCAAAAAATATCAATTACGAATATGGATAATTCAGCTCTACTAACGGTGTTCTCTGGTTCCGGCGATAAACGTTATTTTTCCCTTCAGTTCAATAACGTCCGTGAATGCTGACTCAGAATGTTCGAACGTACTAAAAATATTCTGACTGAGAATGAGAGCCTGACGTGGACTATTTGGTACAAAATATCCTATCTAGTGATGATTGATTAGTGATTCTAGGCGTGTGAACTACTATGGTCATTAGTTCCGTAAGTGTAATGGGCGTTTTTGCTCGGGAGTTGGCGGTGGTCTTCCCTAGCTGTATGGTGATATCCGGCGCTGATCTACTGTCGACTAGCAGGATTTTCCTCAAACAGGTATCTCCCAACAGCGGGGCACCTCCCCAACCGGGACATGTTCTAAGCTCACTACCTGTCTCCCGGCATGTGTGGTAGTGTAGTGCATATCGATGTGTGTGTG